CCCCACTTAGGCGGGTAAGTCATTCGATGATATTCCCTCATTAGACCTTAATAAAAAACCTGTGGTGGTCTGATGGCTCTTTGAGGTGCGCCGTACGCTCGGGTCTAGTTCTTTTCAACGACTCATAACATAAGATAACATCACGCCTTTTATCCTTGAAGGGGTAGGCAGAGGTGCGCATTATACCACTGTACAATGTAACCCCCACTTTTCACTATTTATGTTATGAGTCTCATGTACCTAATAGGGGGTGAGCCTATTGCCATATACCGGGCACAATTCGAGACTCCGTGCTACTACTGAAAATTTTTTAAAAACCCGTTAATACTTTGCCCGACCCGGGAATCGAACCCGAGACCCCTTACCCGGCAGTCGCAATTGCGACCACTCGGCTAACGAGGCAGTCTCATTTAAGTAAAAAACGAGTTGGCAACAGTACATAATATCTAGTAGTTAATAAGTGTAATTATCTAGTTCCCTGATTTTTGTCTTTATTACAAAACGATAATAAAATTGAACATTTACAGGTCATGATACTTTGATTTGCTGTATAAAGTCTACACTAGTCATTATTTACGACTTTGTTTGTATATTTTTTTTATGGGATAAGTAATCTGATTATCTGATGGTAAGCAATCGGCGCCCATGGTCACCTGAAACATCAGAGGCGTTACAAGTACGTTACCGGCCTTTTGTGGATTAGGAATTTGAGGATCATTAGGGATTTGGGGTTTCAGAGGATGGGAAGACTGGGGAGGGAGGTTAATTGAGCCAGCAAACTCACACGGAAGCGCAACTCCCATCCATCCGGCCCATTAGTGCTGAATGGCTCTCCTACACATAATAATTATATTAATAGCTAAACAAATGTTGGTAATGTGTAGTTCTTTAGTCGTCTCTGATTACACCCACGGGAAGAATAGGAGTGGTGACAGAATTGTATTCAAACAGACTTTAAACTATCAAACACCAAGCGGTCACCGGTGACCGCGACCTATTGTTCTTTGATTGTGTCTATAAAACCAGTACTCGACGAGTTAAATAGTATTTAAACCGACGTGAAACAACGCTTGCGTTGTGTGAATGAAGTTACCGGAGGACCAATCACCTCCCCCCCCTTCCCCAGTCACCTCAATCCGTGAATCCTCAAATGCTTAATCTTCAAAAGGCCGGTAACAAACTTGTACGCCTCTGGTGTTCCGCGTGTCCATGGGCCACGCCGATTGCTTACCATCAGGTGATCTGTTTGCTCGTTTACCGGCTTATTTAATTAAAAAAAAGACATACACATTTTTTTAAGCTGAAACTTTGCCCCACATTAGGATTTTCTCCTGTGTCATGGGTGCGTTTACAAACATACAAGTTCACATACACAATGACACCCAGACCCGAAACAACAATCTGTGGATCACACAAAGTGTTGTTCCGTGCGGGACACACGAACATACATACACTTTTATATTAGTAGTATCAGTAGTTTTGGTCGCGTGTATATACCAGACTGAAGTAATAAATTGTGATTGAGTATTACATGAGTCATAGTACTGGTTTCAAATGAAACAGTTTCGTTTTCAACATGATTTAACCTCACGATGTATTTTTCTATAGGTGCGTATCTTTTTAAAGTGATATTTTTAACGACTTAAACTGTCAATGTCAAACACCGCGAGGACACCGGTGACCGCAACCTATTGTTCTTTAGGTAATTGTGTCTATAATGACGGTACTCAAAGGGTTAAAAAAGGAGGTTTCCAGTGTCACCTGTATATATATTACGTATGTATGTTCGTGCGCAAATATCTCGCGATTGTCTGAATCGATTTTGATAAAAATACATGTCTAAAGTTTTATTATGTACCTACCAGACGGACATTAAAATAAAATTTAGGAAACTACCCTATTATAATGACGATGATAATCAGTATGTGAATTTATTTTGACGGAGCTAACATGACATCACGCCTTTTATCCCTGAAGGGGTAGGTGCACTATACGGCACTTAACTGTACAATGTAACACCCACTTTTCACTATTGATATATTATGACACCCATGTAATCGAGGCTGCATGAGCCTATTGCTGTATACCGGGCACATTTCTTTAAAAAATCCAGTAGTACTTTTCCCGACTCGGAAATCGAACTCGAAACCTTTGCCCGATAGTCGCACTTGCGACCACTAGGCCAAGGAAGTAGTTAATTTATTTTGAATTCTTGAATAATTATAATCCTTTTACTAAAACAAAAGAAGAAGCAAATTCGACAAAAATGTTTAAATGTTATTTAATAACAATATTAAACACTACAATAGATAGACAATACAGGGAATGTCAATTGAATTATTTTTTTACCATCATAAACTAGGGACGCACAAAATGTTTTCTTAAAAAAAAACATTAAAACATGAAAATCCTAGTGTGGGGACACTAGGATTTTCTCCTGTGTCGTGGGTGCGTTTACAAATATACAAGTTCACATACACATGACACCCAGACCTGAAGAAACAATTTGTGTATCACACAGAGTTACACCGTGTTTCGCAGTCACCGCGCCAACCGTGCAGTCATTAAATAAAAATTAAGGAATTTTGAGAAGGGTAGGTAGGTAGTGTGAGGTAAAGTTTTTTCAAAAAGAAAAATAACATCACATCACGCCTTTTAATCCCCGAAGGGGTAGGCAGAGGTGCACATTTCGGCACTTAATGCCACTGTACAATGTAACACCTACTTTTCACTATTTATGTTATGAGTCCCATGTAATAGGGGGTGAGCCTATTGCCATATACCGGGCACATTTCCAGACTCCGTGCTACTACTGAGATTTTTAAAAACCCAGTAATATTTTGTCCGACCCGGGAATCGAACCCAGATACCTTACCCGGCAGTCGCATTTGCGACCCCTCGGCCATCGAGGCAGTCAGAGAAGAAAAATATAAATATTTAAATATTAGTAGGTAGATAGGTAGGTAATAGGAGGTGGTTTATACCCAACAAACTGTGTGTTGACAGTTTATACACATTTTGTTACCACCTTATCTCTTCTTGTGGCTGCTGTAAGAGCGGACTAAGGAACTACATATCTATATATATAAAAGAAAGTCGTGTTAGTTACACCACTTATAACTCAAGAACGGCAGAATAGATTTGGCTGAAAATTGGTAGGGAGGTAGCTTAGAGCCAGGAGACCGACATAGGATACTTTTTGACCAACATTTTTTTTTTACTTTTTACCGAAAATCACGGACGGGGTCGGGAAAAAATGGGATTACGCGTACGAAGTCGTGGGCAGAAGCTAGTTTTATATAGACCAGGAAGTACTGATTCACTTCGTTGCGGGAACCAAGACAGTTACTCATGTCCCTGGGACGCGCCGGACTTCAATGTTCCGGTGTTTTCATGGTTGTATTTATTGTAGATCCTGGCTTACAGGAGTTGCAGCGGTTTTGGGAGGTAGTGGCGGGCTTGTCCCAAAAAAAGACTAGGAAGTAGCACTTTCTAGGTTGAAGTCTTTATATCTTCTTGTGGCTACTGTAAGAGCGGACTAAGGAACTACATATTTTATATAGACCAGGAAGTACTGATTCACTTCTTTGCGGGAACCAAGACAGTTATTCATGTCCCTGGGACGCGCCGGACTTCAGTGTTCCGGTGTTTTCATGGTTGTATCTATTGTAGATCCTGGCTTACAGGAGTTGCAGCGGTTTTGGGAGGTAGTGGCGGGCTTGTCCCAAAAAAAGACTAGGAAGTAGCACTTTCTAGGTTGAAGTCTTTATATCTTCTTGTGGCTACTGTAAGAGCGGACTAAGGAACTACATATTTTATATAGACCAGGAAGTACTGATTCACTTCTTTGCGGGAACCAAGACAGTTATTCATGTCCCTGGGACGCGCCGGACTTCAGTGTTCCGGTGTTTTCATGGTTGTATCTATTGTAGATCCTGGCTTACAGGAGTTGCAGCGGTTTTGGGAGGTTGTGGCGGGTTTGTCCCAAAAAAAAGACGAGGAAGTACATTCTAGGTTGAAGTCTTTTTAAATATAGACTCTTATGGTTGAGGCCCGTAGGTATAGGTCAACAATGGAGTATTACAGCTGTTCATGATATTGATATTTCCTATAATACTACTAATGGCTAAATTTAATTAAATTTTAATAAGTTTTTTCCATACTGCCTCATTGGCCGATTGGTCGCAAGTGCCAGGCAAGGGTCGGGTTCGATTCCTGGGTCGGGCAAAGTATTGCTGGGTTTGTAAAAACCTCAGTAGAAGCACGGAGTCTGGAAATGTGCCCGATATATGGCAATAGGATCACCCCCTATTACATGGGACTCGTAACATAAATAGTGAAAAGAGGGTGTTACATTTTACAGTGGTATTAGGTGCCGTAATGTGCACCTCTGCCTACCCCTTCGGGGGTAATAGGCGTGATGTAATGTTATGTTTTTTACAAACGATCCGAAGAACGAACTTTTATAGGTGGCAGGAACTCAATGGATGCCAATCGCTTCTACGTCAAAATATGAAGCAATAAGTTCCGATGTTGATGCCCTAACAATAGACACCGTGCTAATTATAGAACACAATTTTGAAAGTCAAAAAAGCACAACAATAAAACCAATGGCCGTCCGAAGTCTATTCAACCAAACATGAGTCACACTCGATTTCAAAATCGCATTAAGGACAAGCAAATCCTTCCTACATCACCAAACAGTTACCATCTAAAAAGATCAGATAACCAAACGAAACGAAGAAAAAAAAACAACAATAATAATAATAAAAAAATTTCACAATAAAAGTCAGCCCTGAGATGCATGTGAAAAAAAATATGCAGCCATCTTTTTTTACGTTCACTCTTCGCCTGTCATTTGGCATAAAAGGGCGCGAAACTCGAACTTTTAACTCAGTCTAGCCGCGGCGTTGACACGCGTCATACGTGAAATCCGATCGTACGTTTTCGTACATATTTTCTTTTTTTTTCCCATCAGCATTCGTAAGGTGTTGTTCAAAATGAAATATTTCGTTGCTTTTGCCGTTTTCGCCTTGGCTTTTGCCGCTGAAGAAAAGAAGGAAGATGACAAGCCGAAGACCTACAAGAGGCTGATCCCCGCCGATGTTTTAAGAGGTCAGTGTTTTAATTCTATTATGTAGAAGATTAATTAAAATTACAAGTGGTTTTCTGTAAAATTCCGGGTGCACATCGGGAGAAACACGCCTCTTTGAGCGCACATTACTGTTCACAAATGAAGTTCCAAATATGTTATTTATTTAAAAAAATCTTATGACAAAATAATATCAACAATACAAAAATAATATAAGTCATATTTACGAATACAACATTTAATGTTTAAAGTCATTCAAATATTAATAAACAAAATAATAATAACCAATTTTCACTTCTCTAAAGTTATAATACAAAAAAATAATGCTTAAAATGCATTGAGTCTCCACACAAAGTGTGTGAAAGGCTTCTACAAAATCCGTGAAAGACTTGAACCAAATAATCGGTGCAAAGAACGTTCTAGTAACTTAGTAAAAGTTGATCATTAAGTTACGGTTAAGTTGGTTTAAGTAATCAGTTACCGCGATTAAGTCATTATTACTCAATTCTAAAAACAAAAGTAGGTTTGTTAATTCGAGTTATTTATTACTACTTTTGTAAACGTAACGGAAGTTAATAATAAATAATAATATAATATTTGAGTAATTGTAAGTAAGTGCTCGTAAAATGAGTTCATTTTTGTTAATGTTTATAATTTTGTAATAATTTATTTAAGCGAAAGTTTACAGTGCTTATTACAAAATTCATTATGCCATAAAATAAATACACAAAAGTAACAAAGCATTAATTTAGTAAAATAAAATAAAAATGGTAAGGTTCAAATTAAAATTTTCATATCATAATACAATAATTAATTCACTCTAACTACCAAATGGTTTATGACTAGTCTTCAGAACAAAGAACATAATATTTTGAAAATAACAATAAACATACATAAAACTAAACAAAAGTCTTCCTATTGTATAATTCAATAAAGAATTCTCACATAAACCTTTGTTATGAATAGAATCTTATTATCTCAATCTGCTACCAGCCTATATTCATAATAATAATAATTATAAATAAACATTACTTATACCTACAACTAATAATGCAAAAATAAATAACATGTAATTGTTCTTTTTAAACATAAATAAATAAATTCGAACTTAAATAAACAGCAACATTTATTTCATTAATTTATTTAAACTTTCGCTCATAATTTTATGAATCGACATATTTATTATTATTAAACAGTATTAAAAACTAATGCATTGGATACATTCCGAATAATTAACCTCTGTATATTTACGCAATCATATAGAATCAGTAATGGTATAAGTTCGGTAAATAGTAAATCTGACATAAAAAAGCAGAATAAACTCCTAAAATTACGGTAAAGAAGTACACTATATTATTTTTTGTCGTAAATTACACAAAAAATTTATAATATTTAAAATTATAATTTTTAATGAGTACTTGTAAAAAAAATGTTGTAAATTAGTCAATCGTCTTGTTTTATAGTTGCGTGTGTGATTAGAGTGAAAAAAGTGTCGTAGTTACGCAACAGATGGCGGTAACGGCCCAGTTGGCAAATGTAGGGTTGGCACACTATATGTGAATATTATGCTATTGTGTTTTTAATTCTTAATTCGAATTTTAAATCGGCTCCAGTATTATTTGATACAGAATGATCTGCAAGTAGTGTATACTGTAGAAGATTAATTACTTATCTATATGTTTTGTACCGTTGACGGTATGATTAATGCAGTGAATGTGAGATAGGCTCCTTCTAGTTCAATTTCTACAACATATTCACGAATTTTTGCTCCACGTTTTGGCTTATAAGTCCAATTAGGATTATGTGTTTGTAAAGACACCCATGACACAGGAGAAAATCCTAGTCAGGGCCTATGTTAAAAAAAGAAAATAATAAATTTACGCTAATCTGTGGCAATGTAGTGACAAATACACTCCGTATTTGTCAAATCTATTATTTTAATCATTCGTGTTATATTTGATATTCATGTTATGCTGCTGTTCATTTATTTATAATTTGGAAAACCAGTAGTTGCTACATTAGGGGTCTTATATCTAAATACTTCCATAGTAATACATTTTAACTCTTTGAGTACCGTTATTATAGACACAATTAAAGAACAATAGGTTGCGGTCACCGGTGTCCGCTCGGTGATTGACAGTTTAAATGCTGTTTGTTGTCCTGGATAAATAAAAAAAAAAAAAAAAAAAAAAATTGTGACCCACTGCCAACCCTACCAACCACAATGGACGCATCTAAATGATTTAACAGTGAAATTGATGCAGTACCAGTTTTTACAAGCCATTCGTTACTCAGTTGCGTGTAAACACCGGTTCCTTATTAAACCGTTTTTGGGGTCATATTTCGGTTTCGCTTTATTGACGTTCTGTGTGACGACAGAGTACAAGCTGCTTGATAAAACTCTTCACGTGGGTGTTGCGGAGAACCTAACGGGTTGCCGGGGCTCCGGCTCGAAGTGCAGGAGTAGGAACGGGGTGGTTTGTAGTCAGTAAGAGTCTGACACTCCCTCCCGCCTCACCCAAATTTGATCCTGATGTGGTCGCAAATGCAAGGGGTCTCGGGTTCGATTCCCGGGTCGGGCAAAGTATTACAGGGTTTTAAAAAAATTCTCAGTAGTAGCACGGAGTCTGGAATTGCGCGCGGTAAATGGCAATCAGATAAGACCTCAAAATCAAGGGTAGAGGAAACTGCCAAAATATTTATCTTCTTGGATAATAATAGACATTACCGTAAATTATATAATTTAGCCTTCCATAGCAAAAAAGGAAATAACAAAGGCGGTTGCATATAAAAATTAAGGTTATTTTTTAATAATAATAACAATGTAGTTACTGGGTCAAGGAGAGAATAAAAAATAATACCAACACGTCTTTTGTTCCCTAAAGGGTATACAGAGGTGTACACTATTCGCCATGATTCTAATAGGGCCCGAATAATACATTATAAAAATTCCAGATTCAGTGAATATTAAAGATCAATCTCAATTTTCTTGCCAGACCTCTTAATCGGAACATTTGTTAGACTCCTTTCCGAAAAAAATCACCAATTAATCCCTATAATGCATTGCTAGACCCCGTAATCGGAATACAGACACGGAATCGCGGAGAACCTAACGGGTTACCGGGCTCCGGCTCGACGTGCAGGAGAAGGAACGGGGTGGTTTTTAGTCAGTAGTAAGAGTCTGAAACTACCTCCCGCCTCATCCAGGTGGAAGAAGAAGTCAATTGATGATTTTTTCCCCCTTAAAAAAAAGACCCCATTTTCGGTAGTCAAGCGTCCACTAGACCAAGTAAAGATTATTTTAAACAACAACATAACAAAAGTTAGTCGGTCAAGGAGTATGAGAAAATCTTCAGACCATAACCGGTATGCCAAAAACTTGAATCTGAAATAAATAATCAAGTAAAAACGGTTTGACCGTGACACTAAAACCGAAATAATAACACATGACTTCTTTTTTTTTCTCGAAGCTTTATTCACATCTATGTCTCCCTGAAGATAGACGTGTAGTTACTTATGATAGACCTGCTAGATAATCACGTTCTTGAACACTTTGTGGAAGTCAAGTCTATGACTGAAATAGGGTAGACGACTAATTTTTATTATTATATCCGTCTTGTAGATTATTTAAAAACATTAGACACGTATTTTTTATTTTCTTACGGAAACGAATACTTTCAACGATAAATTGATTTGAAATGTCGCGTGACGTCACTTCTATGTACATTTTATACGTAGAAATCACGTTTTAGCTCCCACTCCTAAACTTTAATTCGGTTTATCTACGTATTGTTTTCATATACCACAAAATAAAAAAATGCGTGTCTCATATTTTCTCTTTACCTAACTTACGGACTAATTAGATTTTTAATTTTCATACCCTGTCATCATCCCAATTCTAAAGCGTTTAATACAATTTGCCTTAACAACAAATACAAATCTATCGTCATATAAAGTCCTAGTATGACATTATACATTGCAATATAGTCCTTAATATCAGAAACGAACTTTGAACTGACATTTGTAATCTAGATCACGCCGTGCCTAGCCTACGGAGATTGCTTATTAATCTATAATTCGATCTAGATACAGACTTACCTAACGGGTTTTGGTTTAGTCACGATTGCACTGTAAATTGTATCATAAAGCTATGTTATATAATGATTTTATTACTTACTTGGATTTGCAAAGGTTTATATTTTTAATTCGATCGAAGTTGTAGCCCGCGACTTCGTACGCGCAATCCTGTTTTATCCCGTTCCCGTAGAATTTTCTGATTTTTTTCGGTCTTAAGAACCTTTGGCTGCCTCGTTGGCCGAGTGGTCGCAAGTGCGACTGCCGAGCAAGGAGTCTCGCGTTTGATTCCCGGGTAGGGCAAAGTATTACAGGGTTTTTAAAAAAATCTCAATAATAGCACGGAATCTGGAATTGTGCCCGGTATATGGCAATAGGCTAACCACCGATTACATGGGACTCATAACATAAATAGTGAAAAGTGGGAGTTACATTGTATAGTGGCATAATGTGGATATCTGCCTGCCCCTTCGGGGATAAAAGGCGTGATGTTATGTTATGTAATTTTCTGCCTATAAAAGTGTCATCAATTTACGTCTTTCATTTGTAAGACGAAGAAGTGCTGGTTAAAGTGACAATAAATAGGTTTATTTCACGCTATATAAGAATGTCGCTGTCGACACCGCTTGCATTCTACCTCTAAATCCATTTATAGTCAGAAAAACATTTAAAAATAGTCACAAAAGCCTATTGTTAACATTATTACAATAAAAAAAATATTGTAATTATTTTATTATTATTTATTGCATAACTTAACAATGACAATAGTGATTGTGACTTTTATATTTATGTTATTGGCAATTTTATTATCTTATGTGAATATTTATGAATAAAAATAAACAGTAAATAAATTCATAGATAAAATGCGGAAGTTTTAGAGAAAAGAATGGTGTTTGTAATATTTTATGCATAACTACTGAATAGATTAAGATAATAGAATTTGTTATAT